ATACCTGTCCTTACAGACATTTTCAATGAAATATTAAACACAGAAACGATTCCCCAGCAATGGACAGTGTCTAACATAATCCTACTCTATAAGAAAGGGGACAAATACAATATTGGTAACTATCGTCCTATTAGCCTTATGTCCAATATATACAAAATCTTTGCTAAACTTATACTAAAACGGATCGAAAAAATATTGGACGAACATCAACCTATAGAACAGGCCGGTTTTCGTAGCGGTTATTCGGTGATTGACCACATTCACGTAGTGCGCCAAATTTTAGAAAAGTACAATGAATACCAGCTCATATACTACATTGCATTCATCGATTACAGCAAAGCGTTCGACTCTCTGATACATGACAAGATATGGAAAGCATTGATTGAACAGGGCATCCAACAAAAATACATTCGACTGATAAAGAACGTCTATGAATGCAGCACGGCACAAATCCAACTAGAAAAAAAAGGGATTCCATTTAGAGTAGAGAGAGGCGTTAGACAAGGAGACCCCCTATCTCCTAAATTATTCTCAGCGGTACTGGAGTCTGTGTTCAGGGAATTAGATTGGGAGCATCTTGGGATTAATGTAGACGGAGCCCCGTTAACACACTTAAGATTCGCAGATGATATAGTGCTATTTGGTAAGACATCAGAAGAGTTAAATAAAATGATAAACGATCTGGCAATGGAAAGTGAAAGGGTAGGGTTAAAGCTTAACCCAGATAAAACTCGAGTAATGACAAACGGAAACAAAGACAAAATACAGCTAGGAAATACAGACATTACTTACACCGACGAATATACTTATTTGGACAGATCATAACTCCAAAAGAATCGATGGGCAAAGAAATAGAAAGAAGAATCACAAGTGGATGGAAGAGGTACTGGAGTCTCAAGGAGGCTATGAAGAATGAAGACCTTTCAATAAAATTAAAGAGCAAACTGTTTAACGCCTGCGTATTGCCTGTCCTCATCTATGGCAGCCAATCATGGGCCCTAACTCAAGATCTGTCAAATAAACTTGCAAGCTGCCAATACGCAATGGAGAGGAGCATGATAAACGTTAAAAAAAGGGATAAGAAAAGGAAAACAGACATACGATACAAAACAAAAACAACAGATGTAACATTAAAAATAAAAAGACTGAAAAGGAGATGGGCAGGGCATATGATCAGAGGGCAAGAGAAGTGGAGCAAACTCGTAACTAGTTGGTACCCCAGGGAAGGAACCAGGAAAAGGGGTAGACCTCTTAAAAGATGGGATGATGACCTCAGGCAGGTGGCAGGAGTTACATGGCACAGAGTAGCTCAAGAACGAAAATATTGGAAAAGGTTGGAGGAGGCCTTTGCCGACCGGCAAACAGATCTCCAAAAAATAAGTAATAGGTATTTTATGGATACTAGACCTAAGTAATGCAAATCCTAGGCAATATTAAATTATGTAACAGTTATTAGTTGGATCTGAATAAAGGGCTATTTTATTTTTTTTTATTTTTATTTTTTTTTATTTTTTTATTTTATCTCCTTGAGGCGTCTATATGTAGTTGCTTTGAAAGTAAAAAAATATCGACAAAAACTACGTATTAATAGCATCCTGACTGGCATTTTTCGCTCTAATTTTACAGATCATAAATTATCTTGGTCAAAAACCCTACGAAAGTACACCACCACTATAAAAAGTACCATTAACTCGTAGATTGCGTGTAGGTACTAAGATCTAGTTACTGTGTAGCGTCATCTCTATATATTTCTTCAATGATATCACCGAATTTAACGTCTCCACCACTTAACCACAACCTCGGTACTGTTGTGTTTACACGGAATATTTTTTCGTTCAGCTGATCTCGGTAGACTTGTAGATACAATTGAATACATAAATAGATAGATTTATCTATTCAATCAAAAGCGCGTAGAACGCCGCACCTAGCGTCTCGTCACGCTGTCGTACAAATCGTTCAAAACAAATATATTAAAAATCTATTTAAAGATAATCAGATATGAAAATTCTCTTTAAAAATACGATTGAATCTGCTACTAAATTCAGTTTCGCGGACTATTGGTCGAGTAGTTCTTATCAAATACATTTACGATAAGCAATCGCGATAGACGACATGATTCAAAGTTATGTGATCGAATTGAATTAGTGTTTTGTAATAACCAAAATTTTCAATAAGTGATAGTGTTGATGCTGGTGACTGGTCATCAGTGTGTGTAGGAAATTAAACATGATATACTGAGATAAAAATGGGCTGCTGCATACCACCGAAAGAGTCTAGTAAGTCCTACTTAACTATAAGTTTCCAATACTATAACTTAGGTAACTTAGGTATAGTTGTACACTTATTGTAGTTGTAATAATAGTCAACCGACTTCATTTTAATTACCTAATGAATGAATGAATGCACGTTTATTTTAATATTTTCTTGACTATAACTTTTCTGTGTCTTATTTCATTATTTAAAAAAGAGGTTTAAGTAATTAAATGTTATTAGTTGTAGCTTCTACCTAGCAATCTATTACTCTACTGTTGACCCCGATAATCTTATCTAATAACATTTACAATTGATAGCTATAACAAAACTTTTCATTAATTTGAAATCTATTTTTAAACGTCTATTTACTCTGCATATGAAATCCCAATCACCTATACCTTTGGGGCAGAATTTACGGGTTAATGTGACACCCAATTTTTACATGTTGTATTACGACGAGACCCCTTGTTGTATATGATTAGGGGTGGACCTATGTTAAATAAAGAGAATCAGATGAATGTATCAGAGTACTGTGCTATTTATTACAAAGACGCTTAAGACTTAGCTTGAACTGTACTGTACCTAAAGAATAGACTCGATATGATTTTTACAATATTAATAATGTTATCATTAGGTTCGTCCTTTTCATGACTAACAACTGATTGGGATTATTCTTATTCTTGATAACATGGAGATTAACGTAAATGGCACATAATGAGTGACACATGTACTAGAAGCTCCTTTAAGTGTTTATACCTACCTACATAATTATAATTCTCCAATATTGAATAAAAGATGCGTAATGTGTGCTTAAATGTATTTTCTAATCATTTCAGGAGAGCCAATTCGGTATGACCCGAATTTCAACGGTCCCATCCACAACCGGTCCTGCACAGACATCTTTTGGTTGACTCTATTCATACTCTTTCTTGGAGCATGGGGCTACGTTGGCTATTATAGTAAGAAAAATATATATTTTATAACGGAGTTCAAAAAAAGGAGGTTCTCAGTTTGAGCTGTGTGTATGTATGTTTGTTCGTGATTATCTCGCCATTTGCTGAACCTACTTCGATGTGGTTTTCACAATACTGTTTGTTAAACTTGGGAGATGGAATGGTTTATTCACTGACTTCAAAAAAGTTAAAGTCGGTTTTTTTAAACGTACTTTATAAAGTAATTATTAATACTTAACTCTACTTTGAATCCATATTTTTCCTTCCTCAAAATTATAATGTAAATAGAAACATAAATTTACTGTAACTTTACCTCAATATTAAACCTTTTTTTATAAAATTAAAATTATGTACAAAATACACAACTAAATCTAATTTCAGGCATGAGACACGGGAACATTGAAAAGCTCCTCGCACCAATCGACACGGCTGGAGCTCGATGTGGTCTCGACTCTAGCGTGAAGGACAAGCCGTACCTCGTGTTCTTTGATATTTCCAAATGTCTGTCACCCGGCACTCCCATCGTCGGCTGCCCCACGCCACAGGTAGCTCATTCTTATCTGAACGACGAATTTCTTTCAAAATTAGCTTTTTCTATAAACTTTGTTTCCTCGTTATATTCTCAGGTTTGCGTATCGAAGTGTCCATCCAGAACAATAATTTTTAGCTCAGAAATGAACCAGCAAAATTTTGGTGCATATAGATCCGAATTGGTGTGCACATATGACGTCAACGTCAATACCATTACTTACGCGCAAGCAGTTGAATACATGTCCAATGGGAAATGCGCTCCATACGTATTGGAAAGTCAAGCAGGTAAAGTTTCAATTTTTTTGTTTGTCAGAGTATCTGTTCTGAGAATATGAACATGTCAGTGTTTGAGTGAGTCTCTGCCATTAATTATTGTGATGCTTAATATTTGGATCGAGTGTTAAGTGTGTGGCATGTCCCTCCGGATATTCCTATTAAGATTGTTTGATTAACGTTCCCCTGTGAGATATTGTATAATAACTACACTACAGTGTTATCCCGTTGCATCGGCGATCTGTCAACTCTACAATGCCAGGGAGACAGCAAGTCGAGTCCAAAGACTCTTAGTAAAATGACTGACAGCTGCGTGAGGAACCCTAGCGAGGCTCGCAAGTCGTTGGTGAACAGAGCAACAGCTCTCGACTCTTACATCGGCTGGATCGTAGCCAGCTGGATGTCCTACTTCAAACAGACGGACGAGCGCGAAACTCACATTGTACGTAGCGCGCGACCTACTGCGCATGACTCTGATGCACGCGTAGCTAGAAGCTTGACTCTAACCCTTGTGCATGTGCACTGTCCCTTACTGACCAATTACTAATACGACTAAGTCTCCTAATTAATAGTTTTAGGAATGTCCGCTGCACTGTTCTACGTTATAATCTTGTCTATAAGTCACTGTTCTAGTTTTAAGCACATTAATGCTCCTTCACATTGTCACAATTAAATAAATTAAAACATAACACTTATCTATACATTACCGTCGCGGTCGCTGTGCATGTTTGGTGATCGGCGCAGTGATGGGACGGTGTTTCGTGAACGTATCTGATGTGAAGAACATCTTACAAAACCAGGACATCACTGAGGAGGAGGTGATCTCACAAATCGTAAATCTGGTGCAGTTCCAAGAGGTAGATAGTGTTCATCTTAGCTCATTAGCTCTTTGCTATTACTTATTTAATTAAGTATTTCTGTTATGCATGTTAGTTTAATAAGTTCGTAACTACAGTGCAGTTATAAATAGTGTATCTAACTACTATTCGTAATTCCGAACTCTATATACTTAAAAAGCTACTATTTCTAAATTATACCTTACCTGGCAGAAATATTTATGGTAGTTACAAGCCTAAATGAAACGAAGATCAGTAGTAACTTCAATTGTGTACAAAGCACATGATTATTTTCATCACCTAGCTAGTTATGTAATCTTAATCTTGGACTCTTGGTCTTAATCTTACAATTCGATATAGTTGTCTGTAGTTCATCTTAATATCTACCTCTACTATCCATGTTTACTGTTTTGAAGAGAAGTTATCCAATACTTTTTGTTTTATAAAGACTGATGATTAATGAGCATAACATTTACAGTATCTTATATTTTTAAAATCGGTGTAAAAGTATCTCTTTTCTTTACACTACATTTGCAAAATATTAGTCTTTTTTATAAATATAAAACTAATAGGAAAAAATAATTACATTAAAAACTAACATTTTAGCTTTAACTTGGTGATGGACCGTAGATATCCTTATTTTGTGGTGAATGAAATCAATTTAATTTAAAAATAAATTACTACATAAATGCCCTTTTCGAGGAAAATTACCTACCATACGCACTTGTCTACATATTTAGATATTCCATTATATGTTATTAATGTATTTTTTCGTACAATCATCAGTTGTCGGCGCAAATAGTTCAAGACTTAGTTCAGTCGAGATGGTACCTGTTAGGTGCTGTCTTCGGAGTTGTGGTCCTGTGTTTCCTGTACATCCTGCTGCTGCGCTGGGTGGTAGGCCCAGTCGTATGGGTATCCATCGTGGGACTTATCGGCCTGCTCGGCTTTTGTAAGTAGTTTTAGTATCTATGTATGCACTACATGTTAATAATAAAGACCCGTCATTAAATTAGGATCTCTTACGAATAATTTAGTTTCTGACGGTAATTTGGGCTACCGGAATTGGATTTCAGACATATTTTATTTAATTATATTTCAATCTAATTTCTCAGATTTAGGTACCACAATTAAATGTTAAAAATAATGAATAAATTTTTTCTAATCCAATAATATCACTGAGATTATAAATGTTTAGTTTTTATCACGGCTGGGTTATTACAAACTGCAAAATAATTTATACAGACATGTCCTTGTTTTGCGAATACGATAATAAATTATAAAAAATATTTTTTTTGCCAGTTGGCTGCGATATCAATACCTAGAAATAAACATTGAACAATGTATTTATCATTGTTAACCCGTTCATTTCAGGCGTGTATCTATGCTACAAGAACTACGCATATTACAAAGCGAACCCAGGGTTGCTGCATCAGACAACCAATTTGAAGGGTTACGCTGAATCCATGTTCACGAAGCCTGGCACCTGGATGGCGATTCTCATCGCAGTGGCTATAGTACTCCTCATTCTTGTGCTGATGGTCGTTTTCCTTAGAAAACGAATTTCTATTGCCATTGCTATCATCCGTGAAGGAAGCAAGTAAGTCTATTTTAAGGAGATGATTCTTTGATTGAGTTTAACTCGTCGAATACCGGTTTTGTAGACACAATTATAGAACAATAGGTCGCGGTCACCGGTGACCGCTTGGTGTTTGACAGTTTAATTGGTGTGTCTAGGATGAAATTGTTCATCACTCAACAAAAGAGTTTTTTCAATAAATCTCTATTAGCTATCACATCCAAGTGAACTCATAATTATAAACGCTCAGCTTTGCACCTAACCAAAAATATATATTTTTCTAATAGGTATCTATTAAGTTCTATATTATTGTTTTCAGAGCCGTAACAGCAGTGAAGTCCACAATATTCTTCCCGTTATTCCCGTGGATCTTCCAATGCTTTACCATTGCTTATGGTGTATTGGTGCTCATGTATCTCCTGTCCATCGGAGACTCCGCCTTCAAAATAGTCAACCTACAGAATGACACAACTTGTAGCTGCAGTAATGGTATTTATACCCAGGTACGGATCTTTTTGATTAATCATTGATACTAGCTCTGTATTGGGTTATAATGATAATGCCAAATGGTCACAAGCAAGATACTTATATATAATTATACCCTTATATAAAATAATTATACTCTTTGTAATAAGTGTAGGGGTAGTCACAAGCCAATTGACTGTCAATCAAGGGTTTGTAGAGTTATAGGTTCGATATGGGTCTCAATTATCGAATTCTGAAATTGGCCTTAACTTTACCTCTATATGATTAGGATTTAATTTTCTATTTTATTTTCTTCCAGGACTACCAGTCGTGTGATCCAGTTACATTCCTAAAGGATTGTTTCGACAGTAATGGAGGCTCGTGCAAGCAAGCCATGTGTCACTTCACTGGACTCGAAAATCCGCACAGCGTCGTCTACTTGCATTGTACGTATACTTTTGCATACCTAGCGATATACATTTCAACTCTAAAACTGCCTAAAAAAGAGTAATTCTGCGAAATGCTTTTTTATATAAAATGTCGCTTGAATCAAAAAGTAATTAGATCTCATCTAGAGCTAAGTTTCTAACCCTACTTGCTCAGGTCTTACACATAAGTTGCGGCGAAATACTACAGCCGTAGTTCGTAGCGCTTAGTCCGTAGGTCGTAGCTTGTAGTTCCTAGCGCATCACTAGTAGTTCGTAGCTCGCAGTTGGTACCACGTAGGTCGCGGGTTCGTAGCGTATAGCTCGTAGCACTCATCTTAACAACATTTGTTACAAGAAAAAATATTTTTGTTAGTTAATTGTATGATGCGTCAGGTATGTCTTTACATTATTCTTACATGTGTGTACAATATTGGAATATGTATCAGAGCAGTGTAAAACAGACTTTTTTTTAAAAGAGAAACGAATGGAGTTTCTTTCTCGTTCTTCTCCATTCGAATCGACATTTTGGTACGAGCGCCTAGCTTCACTGACGGACAGACTGACAGACTATTATTTATTTCATATTTGTTGACATTTCAAAAGTACCAAATTATGGTTTAATTGAAATAAAAGCGTTTGAGTTTGAGTTTAATACTTTTGTCAATCTCACCCAAGAATCGTTTTATCGTGTTTACAAACACTTTTAAAGCTCTATACATCTCTATCTCAATATTTTGATTACAGTGGCCAACTTATTGGGTTTCTTCTGGACAATGTTCTTCATCAGTGGAGTATCAGACATGATGTTGGCCAGCACATTTTCCACGTGGTACTGGACATACGACAAGAAAGACCTTCCATTCTTCACACTTACCTCTGGTATATACAGGACAGTACGGTAAGAATCGTATTAATTCATTATAGTTTTGAGGAAACTAAGCATTTAAAATCGAGTCAAAAATAGTGTTATTAGAGAATGATGTGGATTGAAAGATAATTTAGTGACAAGGATATAAAGGAATGTTACGCTGGTTTGGACATGTAGAAAGGATGGATGAAAGTAGACTAACGAAACAGTACGAAGCATACAGAACGAATAAATGGGGTCGTCGGTAGAGGGAGCCCTAAACGGACATATACTGACCAGGGCAGGGATACTCTTGAATCCAATTCCGATCGATCGACATTGGTATTGCGAAATTTCGTTCTCTTGAGTCGCAACACTAGCACCCATTGCATCTGTATTGCGTGGATATTTAATGAACTAAATGGTATTGAGTTTACCTTTAAATTCCGTAACGTACTCTAAATGCTGTTTTAACAGCTACGGGTGGATAGTGTGGACATTGAGTTTTTATTAGATTGAAATTGCATTGACATGGAGACTGGTTTCAAGAGTAAGTAGGTAGGCTGATTGGCGATATATTAAAGAAAAGCCAAATTAAAAGTACCTAAGTACCCTGAACTGACGAGTATGCATGAAAAGATATTAATCAGTTGATGAGGCGAAAGTATGTAGGAATCGTAGCAATTGGCGTTCCATAGTCTCTGCCTACCCCCATAGGAGACAGGCGTGATGTTTTGTATGTATTTAGTTTTATAAGTACAAAAAATTACCTACGCGTGCCTAATTATCACTGCCATTTGTTTTATACCTTACTTTATATGGAAACTAATAGTTTATTTATAGAGTTGAGTTTCGATATATTACAATTTTCATAGAAATATTCAGTAATCAATGGTATGACCTTAACAGCCTATAAATTAACCTAATATTAACTCTTATTCTTTGTTCTATATTTTAGGTATCACCTGGGTACCGTGGCCTTTGGATCTTTGATCATAGCCATAGTTCGAGTGATTCGTGTCATACTCGAGTACATCGACCAGAAACTGAAGAAGTTCGACAATCCTCTCACAAAATGTCTCATGTGTCTATGTAAATGCTTCTGTTGGTGTTTGGAGAACTTCCTCAAGTTTATTAATAAGAACGCGTACATTATGTGCGCGGTTCACGGACAGAATTTCTGTACGAGCGCGAGAGACGCCTTCTCATTGCTAATGAGGAATATCTTGAGAGTAGTAGTTATTGATAAGGTACGTATTTGTTTGTAAAAATGCCTAAATATCTTTAATTTATCTCTTGAAATCGTAATAAATTTCTGGTTATTCTAGATAAATTAATGAATAAATGCGTTTAGGTAAACGAAAAGTACCATTTTCATAAGTAGGCACAGATAAATGACGGCGGTCTTGACTATTCTTTTGAAAAATCCATGTTCATGATATAAAATAATTATTTCAGGTGACAGATTTCCTGTTCTTCTTATCAAAACTGTTGATATCCATTGGAGTGGGTGTCGGCGTGTACTACCTGCTACAGTGGAACTTATTGTACGAAGTGACGAAGGGTCAGCCGTTACACTACAACCACATTCCCGCCATTATACTAAGTATTGCCACCTACCTCATCTGTACAATATTCTTCAACGTCTACGAAATGGCCGTTGACACATTGTTCCTTTGTTTCCGTAAGTATTTCAATCAATTGAACATTAGCACATGTAGATCAGTCTACTTTAGTTTGTAAATTTTTCTCGTTGGAATTAAGACAATATCGAAATAATAGTGTTGAAAAACGAATAATTTAATATTGAACTAGGTTGTTTTGGTGATTCCTGTACCTATCTAAAGTCTAAATATATTATATACTAACACAATGTTTTTCTTTTTCTTTCTTTTAGTTGAAGACTGCGAAAGAAACGATGGCTCACCAGAGAAACCATACTTTATGTCGAAAAATCTTATGAAAATCCTTGGTAAACGAAACAAAGAATTATAAAGTGCCAAAAATTGCGTACGAGTGTTGTGAACGTAAAACTAAGAGAATAATTTATATCGTGTCAAAACTTTAAATCATTGTCACAATTATTATAATCACTGGTACTTCGATTTACACATTTTATAGGAGTTTTTACTATATTTGTATTTGTAAAATATTTTTAATAATAATTTAGATGTGTACTCTTTTACAGTATTGTATCATAGTTTTTAATGATAGAAACCAAATAATAATTTGTTATGTACGTTTTTAAAATTTATTACAATGGATCACACCATTTATAAGAGAAACTGAGATTACTAAGATACTTTATGATTAATCAAGAAAGATTAAACATTTGTCTGATAATAAATTAAGTGGTTTGTGATACTGAGAATAAACTTTGTGAAATTAAATTGGCTTATATTTTATTTATTAACCAATCATAGTAATCGCCGATCCCAATTAATCAAGAGAAGAGATTCATGCAGTAACAATTTAAATTTTACCTTGTATTTGAGACAACAAAATATAATATCGCCAAATGGACCAAGAGCCAGTGGTGATGAAAGTCAAAATCTCATCTCACTCTTCGTAAATACTCCCCCATCGACAAAGACCCATAAACTACATTTCTCTAAACATATCTTTACTGCATATCACCGTCAATCTTTCACCCCATGGAAATGACGCTATCTATTCATCAATCTGCAGTTTTAAAAGTAATTCAAATCAAATAACCCATTACTCTTCTAAAACATTATTTATTCTATGTTGTGTTAGGAAGGCTACATCGAGCATAGCTTCAGGGTCTAGTAGTTCTTTGACATTGTCGTACTTAAGACTTTCTTCATACGCAAACATGATGCTTGTGTCGTCTAGCAACATTTTGGAAGCAACTAGAGCAGCTATGCAGTTCCTCACTCTTGCCATCGTTTCTCTGTCTGATCTGCTAATACACTGTAACAAATAATGAAGTAGGGTTGAGCTTCAAACTTCCATGTACTCCAGCGTTAGTATCTGCAATCACTTTGCAGTAACACAAATGTCTTTGAAGAATTTTGATAACTGATAAACCCGATAGTACTTTGCTTGACCTAGAAATTGAACCAAACATTTCTTATTCAGCAGCATCACTGCAAATTCTTAGTAAACAAGATATGAAATGAAGTTCGAAATAGATTTTCAACCTTATCGTTATGTAATAAAGTTGGAAATCTATGAATAGAAATGGTTAACTGCATTTGTGTTATCATTGCTGGGGTTGCCAACCAAGTTACTTTAGCCAACTTTAAACCACAACAAAACATTTTAAAGTTAGTTTTCTTACCTGTACTTCAACATTAACAATTTCATCTTTCTCTTCTTCCACCAAGTTATTTTGTTCCGGTGGACTGATCCAGATGTAGCCGTTGTTGCCAATGATCACTGATATACCACACGGCAGGTTATGAAAGTGATTCTTTCTGCGTTTGATCAGTGATGGAAACACTTTCATTAATATACCTTGTGACAGCTGAAACATGAAAAAAGAACAATTTGAATATGAAGTAGTAGGGTAGTAAAAAAAAATCTGTTGTTATAAGTACAGTGTGTGTATAATATTGTTGTTGTTAAACAATAGTATAAGTACTAATCTTGACGACCCATATCGGACCTCTGTTACAGCTCCATCCAAAGGCTGTCTGTAAGAGATTGCCTTGTAGGATAAGTTGTCCTACGTGTTTATGTTGTATACATTAAAGCATTTATAAATATATAAACAACCTTACCTTGCCATATTTCAAACTCCTGGTGTGCAGTGACAGTGAGCCATCTGAGAACACACTCTGTACCTCTGCACTGATCAGGTCACCTTCCTGCAGATGTTTCCTCATCATCTGCTCGTCTTCAGCTGATCTACGCCTCTGTAATTTGAAATAATGGTGCATTAGGTAGGTAATAAAATAAAATGATTAAAACATTTATTTCTATTTTTTTAATGTAAAAATAAATGGTGGATAAATGGTGTAATAAGTGTAAGAAAATAAAAAAGTAAGTACTGTAATACTTGCTGTGAGCTAGCTAACTCAAGTCTACTATAGGCACAAAAGTTTTGATTGCTTGTAAGTACCTACTTGAACTTTCTAAAAAAAAATCTTATCCACAGAACCGATTTTCATGAAATTTTGCATACATATAGTTAAATGTCCGAAGAAGGACACAGGCTAATTCACTTGAGTAACGCAGTTGTGGTTTGAAGCAAGTAGTAAATAAAACATACCAACTCTCCTCCAGGCAGATTCACAGATGATAACTGTAGCACAGAGTCCAAACGAGAATTAGTTTCAACTTTCCATCTTCTCTGCTGGACTTCAAGAACTCGCCCCACTACTACATCTCCTATTTCACCGACGTACCGATTCTTCAACGGTCGGACACATATCAACTTGTTTACTTTTTGCATTACCCCAGCTACGGAGGCTTTTAAACAGTCGTCTGACGCGTAAGTACCATGACCACTGTATAATGTATATTGATACATGTTAATTAGTTAATAAGAGTACAGAAGATATATAAAACTTTAAAAAAACATCACTGCCTCGTCTTACCGCATAAAATCCTCCATGCCTGTTACAACTTCACCAGGAGTATAGAATCGAGGTAATTCCCTATTAGTAGGAACGGAATGATTCACTCTTTCTGAAGCTAAACGTATTTTAACGTGGCTCGTCATTTTGAAACAGAATTTTATACAATTTTCAAATAAACAACAAGTAAGCTGATTATTTTTTTTTTTTTTTTTTTTTTTTTTTT